CAAGACTGTAGGGTGTCCTATTCGTCATTTTAGCTTTCAGAAGGGTGCTCGCGAGCGCAAGTGAAAATGGCATTACATCACTAAAGTGTGGACTCAGAGAAAGACTGCGAGGGTTTAGTGTGAGATTTGGGACAGGGCCCTACAATGTCGCACAAGCAAGATTCAACTCTCTACATTGCGAGTAAATCACTCGCATATGCGACTATTTTTTACTTTTGAAATTGTAAAAATGCAGAAAGTTTTCTGTGAGGGGTAGGGGTGGGTATAGGTTAAAAAGTGTATAACTATCTGTATATAAAAACAATCGAAGTCTATGTAATGTCCCCATTTAGATAGCTAAGTAAACGCGCGCGTGTGTGTGTGTGTGTGTAAAATAGTATATCAGTCTGGCGAGTAAACAAAAAATTTTACTAGCCAATGGTGATTATATTGCCAAGGTGTGCATAGAGGGTTGAAGATTTGTCAAGCATATAATAATAATTTACAGACAGTTATATACATATTTCCTATTTTTTTATGTAATTTATGTCTCCGAACTCATTCTCTCAAATGGCTTGGGTACGCAGAGCATTTACAGCTAATTTAGACCTGTGGTAAAAACTAGTTACGGCAAACCTTATCCATTTAATCTCTCTCAAGGAAAAATGAATTTCATTCTAAGTTTGACAGTGTACTTCCCCATTCTCTATTTAACTTGGAGCTTCGAGAAAAAATAGTGTCTACCAGAATCAGCCCATCCACTTTCTAAAGTGTCAGTCCAAGACATGGTTTAAAATCAAGTTGCTCTTACAAAACCAAGTGCACACACGTGGAATCAGCCCAACCTTTAACTTATTCTGAAGTTTACACAGCCCGCAGACCTCGGCCTTCACACCTCCAACTGGCCCCACATGCAGCTCTCAGTTAAAGCAAATGGAGATGAAAAGCTCCTGCAATGAGCTGCCTGGGATGAACAACATACCACTGGCATGCCCTTTAGAACAAAATAAGCCTTCAGTGTGCAAGTGCAGGCACGACCTTAGAGGAGTTGGCTTTGAAATAGGTGTGAGTGTGATTGTGTGCATGTGAAGGAAGGGTTCGTGGGAAAATGGGTGACTGAATAATTCTCGTAGTCTGACCAAACCTCTACAACCTTTCTCACACTTTCACACAAATTGCTTTCAAATTACGCAAACGCTGCCTGTGAGTCAGTTAAAGCCTACCTCTGCACACATCTGTCCCACAGATTGATGCTCTTTTTCTCTTCATAGACTATCAGGCACTTGCTTGTCTTGACAGATACTCGCTAAGTCACACAACGACACGCTCTGCCAGGAATCCTGCTTGCCTGAGGACGCAAGGCTTGTGTAGGGTTGCACCAAACGTTTGTATGTTCTTACTTAACATGGGACGCTCATAGAAGGGGCTTAGCAGCTACTAGTTTTTGTAAATAACTCTCTAGTAGTTCTTTTGCACTTTAATCTGTGTAAAACTTTTAACTTTATACATTTTTCTGTATTGCTTTATTGCATTTAAATGTTCAGTTATTTTTGTTATAAGAAAAATGTTATTAAACCTGTTATACTGTATTATGACAGCACTTTTAAAAAAAAACTAAATTTCAATATCGTGATAATACCGCATACTGTGATAAAAGCATTAGCAATTAATTGCAACTTGAAAATTTGATACCGGCATATCCCTACTCTCTAGTTAATTTGGTTTCATCATTTGCTTTTAAAGCAAAACTCCTAGACTGCAAACCATTAGTAAAGTAATCTGTAATCATATAATACAACATTAGCATTTATTGATCTAATAAGCAGTTGTAAAAAGCTGAGCATTTCAGTTTTACCTTAATACGGGTTTGTGTTTAAAACTTATTTTGCCTCATGTAACTCATACTGGTTATAAATCAAATTACAATAATACATAAATTTACATTTAGTTAGTCATTTAGTGGATGCTTTTATCCAAAGTAACTTTAGGAACATCACAAGAAATTTGTTATAAAAGCCAACAATATTTGTAGTACACAATCTCAAATAGGAGTTAAAGTAAGTGCCTAAATAATCTTGAAATATAATAAATAATATATTTAAATATTGTAATTTTTGCTAATTATAATAACTAAAATTAATTAAGGATGAAATACTTAGGATTAAGGATAAGGATTAAATACTAATGCAACAAAATTTGACATTATTTATTTAATTAATTTACTAAATAAAGTTAAGTAAATAATTATTTTTGGAAGTCAAAGATGACATAATGCACTGCACACAGGGAAGAGCTTTTTTTTTTTGCCGAAGAGATGCTAAGAAATAATTTAATCATGTGATGTTTCCTCTTATTCAATGCAAATGAGCACAAATGTCAAAATCCTCATATATGTCTGGGACTTAATTAAATCATGCAAAACATACGCTCAGTGGTGTAATTCAATAGATCAGCCATTTAATTTAGCCATTATATATTATATTATATTATATATAACATTTATACATATGTTATGTTATATATAACAAATGTTTTTTTGTTTTTTTACAAGTGGTATTTTTGAAGTACCTTCGATGTTACAAATGTCTGATGTTTTAGTACTGTGTAACTGTAAATTAGCGCTCATGTAAGCCTCAAGCATTGTAAGTTTCATCTTAGGACTGGTGTAACCAGCTCATGGTTACTTGTTTGCACTGTCATTAACAACTGCAAGCAGTATTTACTTTGTGAGGTCTACCTAAGAAGTCCTCCACATTTCATCAGTCAACAAACTATATAAATTGAGGATAACTGAGAATATTTATGGAGGTAAATTAATGGGTTCCTCAAAAAATACTTGTTAGAAGATTTGACTTAAGCATAGGATGCTGCATGTGTAGACAGCAGAAAGCAACACAGCTCAATGCAGCTTTAATAAGAATTAGAGTGCTGTTACCATCGAAATGGACCATATGAAGATATTAATCTCCTTGTTTTCGATTTCTGTTCATACTGTATCTATGCATGCATCTGCTTATATTCATGTCCACATTTCAACTCATATTTCAGGCAACATCTCTGTATTTATACAAACCCTTGTGCTTGTGTAAACTGATCAGATCAGGATGCCCAGATTACCAACACAGGAGAATTTATAAAGCTCTCTGTCTTTAATAATGGGGGCCAATCCTGTCCCGATCCAATCTGAGATGGCAACATAAAGGCAGACGACTGTACTTCTCAACACCACAACTGAGCTTATGATGGCACATCAATAATTCACATGTCTGTCTGTGTTAGACTACAAAGAGCAGAGCAGTTTCCAGGGTCACTCGGAGTCTACGGCCAGGCCATGTCACACACTGCACACCTGCCATATCAGGGGCCAAGACTGATGCTGGATACTGATATCCAACAGAACTATGCACTCTCATTCAAATGATAAACAATGCTATTCTATTACTAGATTACTTAGTGCACTGTTCATTGATATTCAGTTACTCTATTATACTATTACTCATTGTTTTGACTGAACACGAGACATTCAGACAGGGCAGTCAGGATATGGCCTATGTGCCTGTCATTGTGTTTGTCAGTGATGATCAAATACAGATTTAGGACTGATTTGAAAGCGTGTGAAATGGTGTTAAATGAAAATGATGTAAAAGTAATAATGGCTGCTGTATATTATGGCATTAGTCACAATGGTGGTGTGATTTTAGATGACTGACTGTTTTATGATGGTTAACGGGTAAGTGATGGATATTGTTTCCATGAAAGTATCACTAAAATTTTGCTGCAATTAAAATATTTCTGACTTCCATAGCCTACAAGTATATAATTCTATATTAATCCTTTTCTAGTCTTCCATAATACATATATTTTTTATCAGGTAATTTAGAAACGTTAGGTTACCTGGCAAAAATATCAGATGCACAAATACTGTCCTAACCTCAACAGATTAAAAAATGCAAGTTGTCTGACCATTTGGCATCAGATTATCATATGTCTGCATTAATGATGGCTGCATGGCTCTTTGCAGCTGCAGAAATATTTATGACAGGCAGCGAACCTCTTTCGCCGTCTCTATGCAACCGGGATTACCTGAGCATTCATCTGAGGCTTTTGCTGCAGAAATGATGCAGGTGGCATCAGAGAAAGAGGAAAGTACAACACACACCTGCTGACAGAGCATTACACGAATGATGTGAGGAGAACATACACGTGTTCTCCTTTTGGTGTAACCATATTTTGAACATTGACGCTGATTACCATGGGCAATAAAATGTCTCACTATGACAATTATAGGGTTCTAAAAAGGAATTTTACAGGTATTTTGAGGCGTAATCTGTTCAGTAGCCTATGTCTTGCGTAATGCAAACTGTCATTTGGCGCCTTAATTCATACAATCTTCATACTGTTTCAAAAAATATAAAGAAAATTATATATATATATAGTTTTTTTTTAATAACACTAAGATTTCTGTGGCGTGTTTGCTATTTAATTATGATAAATAGCCTACTAAACTTCTCGAGTATCGACGCACTGTTCCATACTGATCGCATTGGAAAGCTGCCTACGGTTGCTATGGTTGCCTCCTCAGGTTAGCGTGTTCGATAGCATCTATTTGGCCACCGGTGACCAACTTTTGTAGTTGCTGAAACGTTTACAAACACTGAAATGTATGTAAGCTTTTATGTAAAAACAATAAATACTCTTAAGACCCACATCCACCCTAAGACCTTTTGTTTCGACTATACCCCGGCTGGAAAATCCAGCTGTTGACTGTGTTTTGGAACCTGGAAGCTAGTTTCTAGCTGGTCCTAGCTGGCCATTTGCTGGTGCAAGCTGGTAGACTGTTTTAGACCAGCAACAAACCAACTACCAGTTGGTCCTACTGCTGGTTTTGGAATAGGGTGGCAATTAATGATCAATTCTTTAACCGTGTTCCAAATCAAAGCTGCCATTAAATGGATTTTCCAACATGGTTTGGAGGCAGCCTCCATAATTCGCACCCTGAAATATCTACAAAAATACATTACCCAGTCTTCGAAGTGTTTGCTGCCGTTTTGCAGCAACTCCTCGAACTGAATGGTGCAGTTGGCTACAAAGTCGTCGTAGCCAATCGGCGCGTCATGAAACACCGACAGCTCGATCTTCCGGCCGTCGTGCACCTCCGTCACAAACTCATCGTGCCAGACGGGACTGTTGGTCTTCTGCTTGGTCGAGGTCTGACCCACGCGAAAATCATCTACGTTGAGGGCGATGTAAGTGTCCAGCAGAAAGGTTTGCGTCTTGGGGCCGACGGCGTGTCTCAGAGACCAGGCTGTGGGCTTCAGGTCCAAAGCCTCGCAGATCTTAATCTTCAGCAGACCGTTAAAAATCACCATGGCCACTTTTGAGAGCTTTAGTAACAATATTCCACTTCAGCGCCTGGTTAATTATTCAACCAGTTTAGGCTATATATGTCACGGTCCACCGGTTTGTATTCGGGATTGTTTCTCCTTAGGAAATAACAGTAAATGCCCTTCGTCGTCCTCGTGGATCTGCATGCAAAGTGTAGAAGGTCCAGGCAGAAAGGGAATCTATTGCTATGACCTACGGACAACCTGCATGTGATCTTGAAGCTGTCCAAACACCGCTGTAGGCAGTCAGCAATGCAAGTTGGAGCGAAAACGGACAGCTACAGTGTATCAGCAGCGATAGGACCAGCATTCCACACCTCAAAATATGCCAGAAATATATGCTGGATCTCCTCAGGGTGAGCAGCCTGTTCCCTCGTCTGGCTGGAGCGCTGGATGTGTCTCCTCCGCGCATTGGGAGGAAAGTTATCCCGCGTCTTTCGATTCGCCCCAGACAGGAGAACCAGTGTTTACAAGGGTTTCGTACTCCCTTGATTCTTCCAGGATCCTTGTTTGTCCGTCGGTACTCAGTTTCCTGCAGACCTGCCTATTTTTTCTCCCGACTGTGTGTGTCTGAAGGCTGGTCCAGGAAATGCGCAAAACACGTCAGTTAGCGCGCGGAGAGGGCTGAGTGAGTGCGGCACTGGAGCGGCCCTGCTGGACCCGCTGCTACTGCTTCTGCTCCCAAGCATCATTCAAGGGCTGTAAAGATAAAGCGTGTGTGTGAAAACCAAATGCGATTGATGCGCCATGCAATGCAGATGACCATACATACTGTATGAAGACCGCCGGTGTCTCAATTCTTAGTCATTTTTAGTTATTTATATCATTAATGATTATTTGAAATGACATGGTCTGCCCCTATAATGCAATTGCCATTTCAGTAGCTATAACTATATTATTGGTCTTTACGGATGTGATCCTTATCTTGCGTAAGGTTGTTTACAATGATTTACCGTGAGAAGTGCAGTGGAAAATAAATGTACCCGTTTTTCTCCACCACACTGATTTACTGATGAAGACAATTGAGTGGAAACTCTGAAAATGCACAAAGTCGAATACAAATGACAAGAGTTATTGTAGCTAGTTATGTGGATGCAAACGAAGATGTTTTGACATAATGATAAACATTTTTACAGTGTCATTTGAAAGAAAAAACTACTTCAACTAGATGAAGACATGCTTTTGTATATCATGTACATTAAATGTGTATTTAATGTGTAAATGTGTACTAAATGCGATCATTTGTAACACTAGGTCTGAGGAAAGACTTTGGACATAACTGACGACAAGGTTGTACTTGAAAATGTGAAATACTGAGGTCCACCTTCTCAACATCATTAGTTAACCAAAAGCGCCATCTCGTGGATGGAATTACTATTAAAGCGTCAGATGGTGTTTTATGATCAAATATGCATAAAGTATTTAGAAATCGTACTGAATGGCGTGACATCATTCATTTAATTTATGTCAGTGTAGCGCACTATGGAAAGCACATACACATTTCTTAAGCTTGTTTTACAAATGCTTCCCTGTTCTTTCTCTTTACTTGAGGTGCTTCATAGTGTAGAACATTTTATTTAGGAAACGGTTTTTGCTCAGAGTGAATAATGTGACTGATGAGCTCTGTCAATATCATTTGATCAACTTTAGTGATAAAGATTAAACTAACATTAAGTGAGTTCTAAGATCCAGTAGATGGCAGTGTCCTCATAGAAGTATTATGTTGACAGTTAATATATCTGCATTATATTGCTTTGCCTTCTAAACTGTTAGCATCTTTTGAGTAATGCAAGTAAATTATATATGAGCATACATACATATCTCAGTCTCAAATCTACAAAATTAATCAAGTGTATCATTTAAAAAGATAAAAGAAAGAAAGATGAAAGTATTATGAAGAGCCAAAATACAATGTATGAAATGAGCATTAAAAACTCCATTATTGCAGCATGCTTTATTACAAATGCTTTTACTCACCCATTTTATCTTATAACCCACATTCTGAGAACATGTGGCTAAAGTAATGCTTGTATCCTTTTATTTTTGATGTATCCACACTGAGCAAGTATGTTTGCTCAGTTCACAACACTAGATTTACAGCGAGCAAAAAGGCTGAGCCACTGGAGAAAAGCTCTTTCAAATATTAATTATTGAATAGCATATCACTCTATGAATAAAAGCACCTGAGACGACACTCATTTAGTTGAACAAGAACTGTTTTTATGAATTAAATTTTTATTAACGTAAGCACAAATATAAGTCTTAGAATCAGTGAAGTGCAAAATTATGTTGAATAATACTGGGATAACACTATTAAAATCACATCACATATACATTAGCATAAAACAGATTTTACAAATCAAAGGATGACAAAGTCTTAGTAAATAGTTAAATGGGAATGGCATACACTTTAGAAAACTCTCCATTTAATGCAATTCATTTTGAGCTGAGTGTCCCTTTGTTTCAGATACAATAATTAGATGAGTGATGTCTGCTGGAGGATGAATGGTGATGTTGTTTCAACATCAGGACTTTCCCCTGAGGCTGATTCTCAGCCTGAAATGACATTAGTCAAAGATGTTCTTGCTCACACTATATGGCCTCACATGAGTCTAGCATGTGGTGTGACTCCAAATGATGACATCACCAGCAGGAGGAAAATGAATGCCCCTTTGAGACACTGATAGTGCAGGGTTTATGAGTGTGTAGGATCTGTGTTGTAAGAACAGAAGCGGTCATTTAGGGCTTTTTGAGGGCCTTAAAGCTTACTTCATTCCACCCCCAAAATGCCAGCGTCAATGTTCATATATTTTGAATTAGTGCGTTAGAAATCACTGTTGGCAACTGCCAATAGTGGAAATCAGACCTTCACGGACAATGCTTCTTTGTTTGGACATAAATAGACACATGAAAGGTCGTTCTGAACAAACTTAAGCCCCATGACCAGAATCATATGTAACATGGCACATTAAATTTTGTTCATGGTTTGTTTTACATAAAAAAAAAAAAATCAACATTCCCATATGTGAATCAGAATACTGTATATTGTCTAATAAATCCTAAAATTGTCCTACATTTGTGAACATTTTTGGCCCGATGGATATTTAGTGTCTCTTAAACACATTTTGTGCACTCTGACTACACAGTAAGGAAAAGATAGAATTCCCTTTCAAGTCCCTTCTTCAGTTCACCTCAGAAATGCACAGCGGCACGCCGCTGACTGGAATCACACTTGGAGTGTTTGTGAGAGGAGCGCTTTGAACTTGCACACCACAAAACTCAGATTCATACAGCATATTTCACCATATGATTTGTTTTCTTTGTAATTTTATGGATTAATAGGTTTGGACTCCTCATAAAAATGTGGTAAAAATAGTTAGCAAAAGTAAAATCAGAAGCATGACGAATCCCTTGATTGTTTCTCTTTTTTCATTTTATCGGTTTCAAAAATAGATGTTTTCGCATTTATAAAAAAAAAAAAAATTAAGCATTTTTTTTTTTTTTTGTAGGAGTATTAAATGTATTTGAATTTTGCACCACTTGATTGTTTTTTATTTTTATTTTTTTAGGGTTAACAGAAATGTCTGTAAAATTACTGGATGTCCTGGTAGAAAATTACCAGTAGTTTTTTTTTTTGTAGTGTAGTTACAACAGTGGATATACATTTATCGTTTTGTTATGTCCACCACAGTATTTGTTCATACAGGCCTACACATCTCAAATTAATTGTAGTATGTTATACAGCATTCCATTTGGAAATGACATTTTAATCATTTTTTTTATTAAAATAGTTTTCTTATTTTCTTGTTTTCATTTGGCCAATTTCAAAGTTAGGATTTTATGTATCTTAAATATCCAAAAGAACAAAAATCCACACTTTTTGACACACACACACACACACACAAAGCTTGACTGATGATGTGTAAAAAAAATTATCACTGTTCTAAAGCATCATACAATAATCTAATCATTTGTTATTTAATTTATTTATTTGATTTAACTGGTTAAAATTCAAATAAATATTTTGCATTTCAATGCTTCAGCCGTATATTTTTTGTTTATATATTTGTACATGTTTTACCATTACATATCATTACAGTAATTATTATGTGATATTGTCAACATTTCTTTTTTAAGATGTAATGACATTATGGATCAACTATCCTATTGATAAGCAATACACAAACACACACACACACAAACACACATGTCTGGTCAGCTATCCTTGTGGGGACTCTCCATAGGCGTAATGGTTTTTCTACTGTACAGACCGTATTTTCTATTGCCCTTCACCAACCCTACCCCTAAACCTACCCCTCACAGGAAACTTTCGGCATTTTTAGATTTTCAAAAAACTTCATTATGTGTGATTTATTAGCTTGTTTACCCGTGGGGACCTCAATTTAGGTCCCCACCGTGACACGAGTCCCCATGAGTCTGTGTGTATTCAGGTTTAAGTCCCCACCAGAATAGAAAAACAGGTACACACACACACACACACACACACACACTCAAATGAATTGGTATGGCTATAACCATAGACAAAACGAATCAGAAAAATGAAACAAGAGGTTAAAATCAGATCGGGCCCAGACCTAAACCTACCCCTTACAGGAAACTTTGTGCATTTTTAGATTTTCAAAAAACTTCATTATGATTGATTTATTAGCTTGTTTACCCGTGGGGACCTCAATTTAGAGCCCCACCGTGACACGAGTCCCCACGAGTCTGTGTGTATTCAGGTTTAAGTCCCCACCAGAATAGAAAAACAGGTACACACACACAGACACACACACACACACACACACAGAGAGAACTGTTAAAGGCAACAGATGGCTACTCTGTCTGATTGACTATAATCATTAATCATTCATCCCTCGGCACTCATGCATTATCTCGAGTCTCCACGTTTTCAGGGTGGCAACCGAGGCAACGCTCTCCCAATCTGCAATCTCATTGGTTGGCCACCACGCTCGTCACTCCCCCATCCGTCGGAAGTGCGTTCTCGTCCTGCGTCTCCCTACAGTCTGAACCAGCCTGCGAGCTCGCGCTATCGGCCTCTTCCTCACGCCTTTGCTCAGCTTGTCAAGCAGAAGTACGGGCTTGGTGGATCGGAGATCTGGCCTTAGATTATGCTGCCATTCCAACCGACCAGAACGATGTGGGATTCAGATGCTCTCCTGTTTTATGAAAGCCAACCTCAGGAATGAGCACTTCTGCTCCCTCGCTCGTGTTTTATTCGCCAGGACTGAGCGTATGTGGGACAGTAACGAGTCTAACAGCTTTAACAGCCTTCAGACAAAAGACGGCTGCGAAGTAATATTCACACATAAAAGGGGTAAGTACGCCAGTTTGCGTTATCCGCTCTCTGGATTGCAATGCGCCATGCTTTGCGTATTTTAACACGCTTTATTTCTAGCCGCT